CTTTCCTTTCCTTCCTTCCTTATTTTTTTTTTTTGTCAACTTGACACAAATTGGGGTTATCTGATAAGAGGGACTCCAGGTGAGAAACTAATTTCATCAGTCTGCCTACAGACGAGTCAGTAGGGCACTGTCTTGAGTAATGATTGATGTGGGAGGGCCTAGCCCACTGTGAGTGGTGCCACCCATGGGTAGCTGATCCTAGATGGTGTAAGAAATCAGGCTGAGCAAGTTACAAGGAGCATGCAAGTCAGGAAGCAGTATTCCTCCATGATCTCTGCCTGCCTTAGCTTCCTTTAATGCCGCTATGACTCAGGTTATATAAACTCAATAAACATTTTCCTCCGTCTATTAGTTTTGACCATGGCCTTTACTGCAGCAATAGAAAGGGATCTAAATCAGCACCTATCTACTAGACTGATCCTATGTACCTATCATATGTGACTATGTCTATGTACCTATTATACAAGACTTTTCCTATGTACTTATCATTCTAGATTGTCCTATGTTCCTATCATACTAGACTGTTCCTATGAACCTATCATACTACTAGACTGCCTGTGCACCTATTAAACTCTTCCTAACAAGGAGAAGTACACCCAATCTCTGACTATATAAACCCCTCCCCCTATTTCCTGAACACTCTGGCTCAGAAGAAGTAGCCCAGCTAGCTCATTGGAGGTCTTTATCAGTCTAAAGCAAATAGGGAACAGCCTTCAACCCTGCTCTGGGCCACTGGGCTGTGAGAAATGTTTCCTCACTCAAGGGGAAGCATGTGGAAGGAAGGGCAAGAAGGCCTCTTTTAGGGCTGAGTCCTATCTGGGTATTGACATGAGGAACCAAGTGATCCATTCTTGACCCATGGGGATTCTTCACCCGAGGGATATAGTTCACACTCTCTGAAGTGATAAATTGGAAAAACAGAACTAGGTGGTGTGGCGTGCAATCTGAATCTCTGGAGGTTGAGGTAGGAATATTGCTGGGAGTTAAGATCAGCATGTAATCCAGAGGAACCACTCCCTACCTCAGAGAAAAGAGCAGAATCCAAGCCCTTTTCTGGTTCTGAAAACTGACTGATAGGTAAATCATTTTACCTATGATTTATGATATTTTCAGATTAGTTTTCTGTTCTTTGCAGTGTTCTACCTTTGAACAATAAGGGCTTATTTTTCTCATTTCATCCCAATTAACTGCGATATAAGCAATCTGCAACCTTGAAATTACTATGAGGGAATACACATTGAGTATAAGATGGGGGAGGGGCAGGTAATTCACTAATCAAGACACATCTGTTGATCACCTCTTATATTTCAGATATTTCTAGAAACTGGGAATGCCTGTCTTTAGAGCTGGGCATATTTGACCAGAGGAGATACATGATAAATAAGACAAATGAGAAAATCAATATGAAAAATAGTAAATGTTCAGGAGAAAATGTCCAGGGAAAGAGGATGGATGAGAAGTGTCCAAGGGGGCGGGGAGTTTAGCATCTCAGGATCAGTAGGGTGATATTGTCAAGAAGGGAAGTTTAGTATGCAAAGGGATGAAGGAGCCATCTGCTTTGATCTCTGAGAATGAGTATTTCATGCATAGGAAACTGCTGAGACAGGAACCTTCTGGAAGTTCATGGAAGAAAGTGGTGAAATAGGCAATGGAGATCCATGTCAGGTAGGGACTGCTATAGGGGATTTACTCTGAATGAGAACACAAATCATCCCACGGGTTTGCATGGAGCAGGAACACGCTTTGACTTCTATTTTAACACAGCACTCTGACTGCTGCTTTGGGAATGGGGATACTGTAAGACCAGAAGTGGAGAGACCAGTGAGGACTATGTTCCAGGAATATCAACCAGATGATGGTGATTGGATTCCGGGACAGCAGACAGCAGATGCTATTGCTCACAGTCTGGTATATATTTGAAAGGTGATGGATTTTAAAGTGGAAAAAGAGTTAGAATTGAAGGCAAGGTTTCTAGTCTGATCAGTAAGAACTAAGTTGTCAATTCTTGACATATAGAATGAACAGCAATAGAAGGTTTGAATAGAATGATGGGACGAAATGTTGACTTGAGATGTCTATCTGAGCATAATGTAGATTTCCTATAAGAAGTTGGGCATATATGTTAGGAGTTGGGAAATATGATCTAGGTGAGGAGAACATATTCGAGGATCATTAAAGTAACTAACAGTCATGGAGATTAGATGCAATTATTCTGGGAATAAGTGAAGAATTCAGAACGGGAAAATAAATTCAGTAAAAGGATTAACCAAAGAGCGAGAAGCAGCATTTACCCAGGCTGGTGGAGCTCCAGACAAATGTCACCTACACAGCGTGTGTTTCACAATGGAGACTGTGAGTCACTGGGTGAGGTACCACTGAGATAGTTAAGTAAAATCCAGACCAAAAATCTATTCTCGCTTTAACAACATAATCGTCACTGTGTTACATGACTGAAGAAAGAAAACACAGTGTGAGATGGGAAGTTGGAATGTTTAAGACAGAAAGAGTGGGGGAGACCTGGGGTTGGGGGCTCAAGTCCAGAGTCCTAGGTAATTGCCAGGCAGAGGCAGGGAATTTGCCACACATCTGAGGCCAGCCTGAGCTATGCAGGGCTGTAGGCATGGCCTGGACAAGCATAGACTTTCAGGAACTGGGGCTGATTGTGACAGATACTGTCTGGGGACATTGACGCTGACACAGCAGGGAAAGTGGCTGTGTATGTGAGCTGAGTGTGCGCTGCGGAGGCTTCCTGAACAGAGAAAGACTGGAGAGCTGACTCCGCCGTAAAGACCACTTCCTGCTCTTGTCGAGGACTTGGGTTCAGTTCTTGGCACTCAGATGGAAGCTCACGGCCATCTGTGACTCTAGTTCCGGGGGCTCTGATGCCTTCTTCTGGAATCCACAAGTACCAGCCTCTCCCCCATGGTGTACAAACAAACATGCAGGCCCTTACACATACATATAGAGTAAGTAAATCTTAAATAAAAGTCAGGTTTGGTGGGGAGGGCCTGTAATAGCAGTAAGAGGAAGACAAACAGGCATACCCCTAGGCCGTGTTAGCTAGGCAGTCTAGTCTAGTTGGCCGACATTTCACAGGAACATAAGCTTTTGTGAGGATGTTAGAGTGAGCCCTGGATCAGGGAGCCGGAAGTTTGTGACTTTTGAAACTAATTAAGGCCCAAATCATGACTTTTGTATGAAATGTCTCATTTTAAAAGGTTGGAAACTCATTTACAAAAGGTCAAAATGGGCTGGGAGATGGCTCAGTGGCGAAAGGGCTAGGCGCACAATAATGAGGACCTGTGCTTGATCCCTAGCATGCCTGTAAAGGCCATGTATAGAAGCCTGCAACTGTAACCCCAGCACTAACAAGGAGGAGCCAGGAGCATCTCAGGGGGCTTGATGGCCTTTCAGCCTAGCTAAAACAGTAAGCGCCATATTCACTGAGAGATCCTGCCTCAAACAAAATCAAAACCAGGCAGATATCAGTGAAGGAACCTACTAGACATTGACAGGTGAACACACACATACATCAACCCTGAAAACAAAAATTAAAATAAAATTGTCATTATAAAAAAAAATGTAACAAAGGAAGACACAAAGGACACGAAAAGTTTGAAGTCGGGATTTTATTTAACGAAATGACTCAAAGGCTGTGTTTCCTACATTTATCCTCACTTTAGATAGAATTCTTTTATTTACATAGAAACCCAAAATTGTAGCTAGTCGAAGTTAACATTCTTGAAAGGCTCCCCAGAATGTACCAATCAACCCCGCCTCTTCTTCCTCGTCTTCACGTAGATGGCTACTTCCCTCTGTGGCTTTCATCTTGATGAGGCACTGGGATACAAGAATATCCTGTTAAATTGTCAATGCAACGACAGTAGCCCGAATTGAAGAGAACTTCTCGGGACAAAGAAGAGTCACACACCCACCTGAACTTAAACAAGTGATGAGCACAAAGGTAGGGGTGTTCAGTGAGTAGCAAGGGTTCATATGTAAGTTTGGTTGAGACGGGGGTCGTTCTATGTAGCCTACCCTGGCCTAGAACTCTAGATCTCTATTTCAGCTTTCAAAACTGCTGAGATTATAGCCGTATACCACCACGCCCAATGATGTCCATTGAATACACGCCAAGTAGTATTCTAGGCATTTTGTATTTATTATTTCTAATCCTCAGGATATTATAATTTAACTTTTATAATTACGCTCATCTTATAATTATGGAAACTGAAGTTCGGAGGGAAGAAGCAGCTTGCATAGAATATGAAGATAATGACGACAGCATCCAGCATCCAACCCTGGACTGTATCATCTCACCTGGAGGTTGCTGTGCATTTACACCCTCTTCCTTCCTTGCCCTGCTTTGGCTGGAGGTATACCCTGATGAATGCACAGTTCTCTATTGACTTCTCTGCCACAGTAAAGACAATGAAAAAATATACTGTCAAAGCAGTGCGGCTAGCAGGGACGGTGCATGCAGGCTACCGTACAAGTCATGACAGAGCAAACAAGAGCCCAGAAGCTGCCAAGGAGAATCGCTGGAGGAGGCACAAATCTATTCTGAATCTCAATGAATGAGTCAACGTTCGGGTTCATCGAACGAAGGAAGAATAGTCTCAGTGAGGAAGTAAATCACATGAGCGGACTTGAGAAACTGCATGTGGTGATTTAACTAATGATGCTCTTCCAATCTATAGTCATGGAGGTGTAGGGCTGTGTCCTGGGGATGTCTGTCAGATGTGTGTTAGCAGAGGGAGACGGTCTAGCAGTTTAGCAAGAGGTGGACGGAATGGGGCACATAAAGAAACTTTTAGGATACTCAGTTGCCAACCACTTTCCTTTCCGCTAACTTTTCTGTGGGAAGACAGCACCGTTGTGTGCAGAGAACACGCAGCTTGCCATTGCCAAGGAGACCAGGGCAGGACATAATGTCCTTGGTAGTGGCCAGCACCATGCATGCATATAGTATTTCTGAAGAAATAAAGATGGACACACTGTCAGCAGAAATCACAAATTTATTAACTCTTAAATATATCAATCAGTCATTTACCATTATGGCAAGAAATATATACAGTGTCCCATGGTAAACTGCAGTATTTTCCAAACAATGGAAGGTGATGAACGTGTGATTCCACTGTGCTGGAGAGAGCAAGTCACAATTTCCTCGCATCTTAGTGCAGAAGACAGACTGGATCTATGTAATACTTCAACACCACATGCTAAGTTCAAAGTGTACAAAAAGAGAAAAAAAAATCCTACCACTATTTGTGTCTTTAAATACATGTAAGCCACGTATAGCTGCTTCACAGAAAGATAAAAGAAATTAAAAAGGGAAAAAGTGAGGCCATTACGTTTTTCACAGATCTCATTGGCAGGTTAACACGGCTCAATACATTTACTGTATATATTCATTTTAAATATATATTGTTTTAAATCATGTAATTATCAGAAAAGCTTCAACCCATCTACCATACATTCACTAGCAACAATATCTAAAGTGATTAGCAATCAACACCAAAAGGTGAAATGAGAAAAAAGAGGGGAGGGGGGTGTTTTCTTTTTGCTTCTTGCTTCCGCTTTAAAAATAGGCTTTTGAGGACTGTGAGTAGCTACGGTTGAAGTAATGCTGACGGAGAGTCCATGCACCACAAAGCATTTCAGTGTGGAGAAACAGCCTCACCAGGACTGAATCAACAAAGAACAAATGAGAACCGCAAAGAAAACTGGGGCATTTCCTTTTCCTCTTTGCTTGAATCTGGAAAAACTCTAGCTCCTGGCAGGAAGTTGACACTGTGACTCAAGAGAGAAGCTAGGACTGCACACGTCATAAAGATCAAATTCAAACACAACGAGGATAAAAAATATCCCTCACGGTACTAGCTAGAGAGAGCGAGGCAGTCAAGGCTCTCACGTGACACCAGGTCCAGGCAAGTGCTCTGTATGCCAATCTGGTCACCCTCTACTTGGTCTTCAGACCATATCCCTAGTCGGTAGAGAACCAGGACATTGTTGTAGGCTCTTACTGCTGTTAGCACAAGTCTCAACACTTCCAATGCTCTTAACCTAGCTAGGATACCTATGCACAAGTGGTGGCCTAAGCTGAATTAAAAACCTTTATTTAAAATCTTATAACAACTCCGCGGGCCCTGAAAAGACAGGAAGTGCTAGTTTTAGCTTCTTCCAAAAGACCTTGATTTCTATTTTTACCTTCATATGCAAACTTTACTGTTATTTTTACACACTACCAGCTACAGAAAGACAGACAGACCAACAGATAGAAAGATAGATAGATAGATAGATAGATAGATAGATAGATAGATAGATAGATAGAGAGAATAGGAAAAATTAAAAGCAAACAAATATTACAAAACGAAAACAACAGAATACAGATTTGAGAAAGAAAAAAGCAAAATCAGTGTCAAGTGTTCACCAGAATTGTGCTTATCTGAAAGCAATCAAACTTGCAAATGATGTTAATTTTTCCCAGTATGTAGTTTGACTCAAATCATCATGGCTTTGATGGTAGAACACCAACTGATTCTTGCCCTTGCAATCACACAAGGCTTTGCCCACCTAACCACTCCACTTACACAACACCAACACTTTCAGAGAAAAGCATTCATTTCTACCAGGATCACACCAGGAACTGAAGGTACATACATATTAGCCTTAGAAACAAACAAAAACAAAATCAAACCCAAATTCCCAATGAAAAGCCCCCAAAGATTAATGGCAGCGTTCTCAAAAGATTTACTTTTCTCTCACAAACTGTCATTCAGAGAACAATAATTTTAACGACATCTTCTAAATCTTGGCATAAACAGAGAAACCTGATGGATCAGTTGAACTTGGAATATTGTGGAATTTTCTTGTCTGACCTCCCTCTATAGGTTGCCAACGGTAATTTAAGTTTGCATGGAACATCCCATCCAGTAGTTGGAGTGTAAACAACGTATAGGAAGGAATATATGATACGATGATGTGTCACATATGCATTACATGTAGAACCTTCACAACTTCATGCATCAGAAACATGCATGAAGAGGAGGAGAGGACGTCCCAGGGTTTCCCTCCAGGTGCCTTGAGAACAGAACGCAGAAGTGGCACTGTTGACAATTAGCTGGAAAGGAGGAAGAAATAAATTATATTGTTTTCTATAAGATACAAGACTTTTTGCCACAGATGTTACTAAGGTGCAATTTTTATAACTTAGCTAAAGCTCAGATTGGAAATACTTTGTATGAGATCTTTGCCTGTGATCCTTGGAAGACAAAATACACACTTTTAACAAAGACAATTCTAGGCAATCAATAGTATCTATTTGTTCAAACATAGCTAAGCTGAAAAAAATGAACAGAAGGGGTCACAGGCTTCAACCACATTATTAAATATAAATATATGTTTTAAGTACTCATATTTACTAGACAAATTTAATAAATTCCTATTAGTATTTGGTTGAAACAGAATCAAAGTTCAACTTCACTCTGTGCTTTTTGCTCATTATGCGTAAATTCCTTGGGAAATCAAAATTAAAAGTCAGTTCAGCAAGGAATATAGTCTGAAAAGTAGAGAATGGTTATTCTTACTCAGGTCTTTAAAGCTACAACCAAGAGCACAGGTTCTTAAAGGTTCTGTTCCATCTTGGCTTGGGGAAGAAATAAGTGGTACCTTACTTACTTCTGTACCCTAACCCCAGTTTAAGAGGCAAATCTTTAAAAACAACAACACAAGCATGGACTTAATTGCGGTCAACTGTCTGTTATCAGAATGACCTCCTTTGTGTTTGTTTCAAGTTCAAGTTCAGCTTTGATTTTCAGTTGTGCCCCTGCCTCTCAGGCTCCCACCATTCCATTCAGTCAGACACAGTGAGCTCCTGTACATATTAACCCGTCAACAGCCAACAGACATGGCAACTCCCAAAAGACAGCAAGGCGCAAAGGATCTCAGTGCTTAATAGGAATTGCTGTGGGTAATTTAGAGTTGTCGGCATAACCCAGACATTACTGGCTTTTGATGTGAGAACTCCGGGATGTAAAGTGATGCGATCCAGCTGTTGGGAAAAGGTCCTTCTTGGCGTCTGTTGCCTCGCAAATAGTGGTGGCGCTACAAGATGAACGCTACAACTAAGGACTCATGCAGAGCCACAGTGGATTTCCAAAGACCTCATCTGTGTTTCACTGAGTAGATTGCTGAGCGAATGTCCAGAAAGGGAAGAACACCAGCCATGCAGCTTTTCCAGCATGAGCCCCATCACACAGAACCGTGGGGCAGGATGCTACTTACAAGACCCAAATGTGAATGGTTTTCAGATGTTTTGCCACAAAGAGGTGCTTCCTGAGAAGTTTTCTTTCCCATTTGGAATACAGGGTGGCCTATTAAGAGAAGCCCCATTTAAGCCACCTGGCATAAAAGGAAGTTTCCTTAAATAGGCTCTATCCCTTAACACGTCAGAGAACTGCAGAGAAAGCTAGTCCCTTGCCCAATACAAAATGCATCCGTCCTATCTAGAACAGCTGGCAATTTGTGGTTACCTCTTTGGGGTGAAAACCACAGAAACACTAACACAAACTTTATTTTTCACTCCTTTTGTGTCTTCCTTTTGATAACATAGCTACTTTTTTTTTAAAAAAAAAAGTATTTTAACCTATTTTTTGTTATTGGGATTTATTTTTGCCTTTATTGATCCTCTTTATTCCTGTTTTGCATATCCAACAGTGCTAGATGTGTCTAAAATGATAGAGAAGACCTTTGAAAATCTCTGTGGTTGATAATCTGCCTTCAAACTGAGAAGTCGAAATGGCTTTGCTGGGGCGTGTTGAGTGGCTGTTTGTGAGAACTGGGCTCCACACCCGGCATCTTCTAAACAGTGACAGGGGATGCTGGAAAGATATGATCAGTGGGCCAGGCTTCACCTGACTTTGTTTGCTCTCTTCTTGCTTTCAGCTTATCCCATTTTACTGACTCACATGATTTCCCATCATTCCCCTATATGCCAGTGAGCCAGCCTGTTGTGTTCTGCCCTGTTTTCTAATGTTTCTAAGTCCTAGCACCGTAACTTCACGATGTTTCCCCAGCTTGGTCTCTCTCACTTGTGTGCTTTTACCATTTCTGTATCTTCAGATTCTCTTCCCACCCTGACTGCTCTTAGGGATGGAGAGGGAGGAGGACAGGGAGTGGGGGGAGTGGGAGGGTGGTGGGAGGAGGGGCGGAAATGGAAACTTTTATAATTTAATAAAAGTACAAAAAAAAATTTTGCTCAGAATTTAGTCTCTTAGGCTATGGAGTTTTGATGCATTGGTTGTTCACTGCACCCAACTTGCAAGTCAAGCGCGTAGTTTACTTTTTCCATGGTCTTAGTGATTGATTGCCTCCCAAAGCAGAATATATGTTTCCTGTGGAAAATGCCTTTTTTCCCTGCATCAAGCATAGGAGAGGCACTCACAAGGTGTGTCGTGAGTTATCTGTCTTATTATTATTATTTTCTGTCTGTTGGGAATTAAACATGACATGCGAGGTAGACTACTGATAACACCTGATATTTTCTCTTTAAATACTGTTTTCTAAATTTGCCTCCTACAAGGGGCATATGAACAAGATATGACAGCCTAGAAATATTTACTTGATGGGTACTGTGGGTGACCCCGAACGATGAAAGTGAACATTCTGCCACTTCCCATCGCGGCGGTGCCACACGCGCGTCTCTTCCGACTGCATGGTCTTTGGCATGCCACTGCCGTCCATGTATTGTGTGAGTCGGATGTATGCGATGCACGCTGCGTCATCGCCCACCAGATGCACGTGAGGGTTCAGGATGATAGTGTGGATTGGTTTGTTGCTTTTGGACAAAGCTGAAAGAGAACGATATGAAAAGAAAACCAATTAAGGTCTTACAATGCAGTAAGCTAAAATCAGGATTAACTTCAGGTGGGACCGACGAGGAATGGTACTCATCCATGCCTTAACACATGAATCAATTTGCACCAGCTGAGTGCTGGGTGTTGTATAAAGCGTAAAACAATGAAACAAAAGTAGATAATCTTCATTTTCCTTGATTTCCTTAAGAGGCAATTTGTACTACTCTGGAAATTTTCATTGATTAGGCAGAAAAGCTACACAGATGCATTTATAAAGCAAGGGCTAGAAGCAGAAGCCACCCTATAGAGAGAGGAGGAGAAACCCTGGGTCAGGTATCCTGATCTACTCCCACTGAGGCTGTTGACGGGGTGACTTGCGGTGGTATGTCTGTAAGTAGCATGTGGGATGAGGGAAGTACCTCAAGTGTTAATGTTAAAGTCACTATTACCCTGAATGGATATTTTTTTCTCATCAAATCCTGTGCCTCTTCAGTTTGGTCAGAATGTACTTGTGATCAGCTAGTCACACTCCACAACCCATTGCTTCATCACACAGCTGGTTATGAACAGATGTTTCCTGCCAGGCTCCAACCTCTGGTGTTGGGATAATAACTATATGCATTCTGATCACTTGATCAAGAGATTTCTGGATTTTGAACACAATTCCTATTGATGGTGTTCTGCTGATTAGAATAGGCTGTTATTCTAGCGGTTACCCAAACACTTCTCATTCTCAGGCAATGCTTATTTAAATTACTTGAAATGTTAGTGACACAAAAAAATACCCCATTATGAACAGTACACACTTACAGGAAATAATAGTGCACAGTGTAATGCTGAAATGGGTGAAATATTAACGGATTAATTAAAGATTTTAGTAAAAATAAAATGGTGTTGATTCACATTCAGAGTAAAGAAGTAATATGAGATGCCTCCATTAAAATGCTGAAATATATGGAATATGAGGGTATTTAACCAAGCTTTGTTAACACAAATTAATTTAAATTACTTATTGCTGCTTATTTGTTTGCAAACACCTAACACATGTCGAGAGAGAGAGAGAGAGAGAGAGAGAGAGAGAGAGAGAGAACGAGAGGGAGAGAAAGAGAGAGAGAAACTCATACACTAAAAACACATGCCATGTAGACTTGTCAATGCTTTTAATAACTAGAAGCGAACCTAATTACCCTAATTATCATACAAGTCCTCCTTAATTCAACAGGATCTCATGGCAAAAAGACTGAATTCCTTTCACATACCATAGAAATGTAATGCAGCACTTAAGGCTATGAGGCCCAAGTAAAATGATGGAGGGAATTCATGCTAATGCCGGGCCTTTGGCTTGGTTTTATCTTTATTTTTTCTGATTTGCAGGAACTGCTTTGGAATATTTGTTTCCTGAAAGCTATATGCTTCCTCTGAGCCACTCAAATATTAAGACCTTTGCAATCTGAGTGGAAACACTTCCTGATTGCTCATCTTTGTTTGTGTCGTAACTTGAAAGTGACCTCTAGACTTCTCAGCAGTGCTCAGCCACTGTGGGTATCATGGCGGTGGTTTCTCTTCCCCATATTAACCATATGATAAAAACTCAAAGTAATACATGTTCATAACATTATGTGGCTTATCTTGTCCATTCACTTGGTCTTAACAGGTGTTTCCATATTTTCCAAAACATAAAGAACCTTTTAGTTATGAAGTACATATTTTTCAGTTTCCCCAAAGCACAATTTTCATGGTGGACATATGTCAGTAAAAATCCCCACTGCAGGAAAGAGCCAAAGAGTTTGTGAGGTTGGGAGAAGTTCAAGGAGAAGTTGGCAAAGGACGTAGAATAGCTACCGTTTTCAAAGTAGAATCTGTGAAAGTCCATCCCTTCCACTAAGTTGCCCAAAGCTTCCGGTTCAAAGGCAGTGAGGCCTGGATCGCAGATTTTTCTGCAGCAAGAGAAAGAACTCATGAGTAACTGTGCTGACAGTTTTGTTCTTTTATGTCTAAGCATTCTTGCTTATGGTCAGTGAAGGAAAGAGAGTCTTAAAAAAAAACCCAAATAAGAAATTTCTACCATAGACCTTGACAAGGTGATCAAAAAGCAGACTCCAAATTGTCATTTTGTAGAGGCACAAAACCAAGTCAACCAGATCAAGCACAATCATTTTTTGCTTTTTAATTTCCAAAGTTAGTTTTCTAACTTTTGACTTAAGTTTCTTTTGTTTCAAGTTTTCTCAAAGACAAGGACATACATCTTTGGTTTGGGAAATAAATAATTTTTGGAATGATTTTTTTTAAGGGATCCACTTTCTCCATCCTTTTCCAACATCCATATTGTAACTGACTTGAAGGATAGAATGGCAGTCTGAATTTCCCGGGAATGTCCATAAGATTGCGTTAAGCATGTGCTTAATGCTCATTTCACTTTCAAAAGAAAAGTAATAGGTGTTTCAAGTGGGCATAATAGTTTCTTTTTGATCCCAGAAGCAGAATTCAGCAAAGGGGTGTGCATCTCTAAACGATTCACAAGAAACCAATGGGCTTTCTTTGGAGAAATTTTCTTATTCAAACTATTAAATGTGATTTATAGTAGGAGGCGACTATAAGTCATTGATACTAAAATAGAAGTTATTGCAACATGCTTCAACGGTAGGTTATAATGGATGGAAATGATACAAAAAAGAAAGAAAATTGGAGCTGGATTTTTAACGATGAGTCAGAGTCTTGCAGGGACATGGAAGGTTCTGAGATGGAGAAAGGCAGCAAGGACTCAGGGTACAAATAAAAAATTTTCGGCCTATTTATTAATTTGCTGCAAATGAGAAATGCAGTAGGTGGGAACCTATTTAATCTCAAGTGGACATGCTCAATACTGGAGGGAAACTTTCTTAACTGTTCTTCAGGGAAACAAATTTGCAAGCCTAACTCCCTGTGGTTTTTCAGAGCACAGCACAGTTCATGGAACATGGTGCTGGCACACCAGGAATGGTGGGGCGCACATGTTTTTCAGCAGGAGTCCCAGGCCAGCCTGGGCAACAGGAGTCCTGGCTTCAAAAAACACAAACAAAGGAATGCAGAGCTGGTGGCCTGGGGAGAACACTTTGAGGCCTCAAATCGCCGCAATTATCCTTTGTGAGGAAGGCGGTGGTAGAGGGGAAATAATGAACTTTGTCTCCGACTGCCTGCTGGGCAGGTATTTTTAAGCCCAAGTCAAATATATATAATTTCTTCCTAAGGAGTGAAATGGGAAGAACAGTGTTCCTATGGCAACGGAAATTTATTCTGCCAGGTGTTATTATTTCCTCTATAAAATATGGCTTAGTTGTCAGTCTGTCAAACCAAACTCCATACTACCTCACATTGGTATTTGCAAGTGTTATTCTCTTTTTTTCGACTCTCTGTTATTCATTATCATCTGTCTGTCTGTCTGTCTGTCTGTCTATCTATCTATCTATCTATCATCTATCAATCTTCCATCTACCCACCTATCTATGATCTATTGTTACCACTTATCCACCATTTCTCTATTATTTATTCTCTTGCCATAGGTCTCAGATTAATAAAGACTGACAGTATTCTGCACATATTGTCTGAGGGTTACTGTGAGGAAAACTTAGAAACCAGCTGCCAGAGACTCACAAACATGTTCTTCAACCTAAAAAGCTTTAGAATGGAAGTAATATTGGATTATCCTGGGAAGTACAAATCTAGGCCAAATGGCAGGCCTCTCTAGGCAAGGAAGAGGTGATGAGCTCTTTAGACACCGAGCTATTTAAATATCCTGTTTTGAACTGTATGGGAACCGTAAATACCTCATAACTACTGGCTACAATTATAGCCTGTCAGTGAAACAAAAACAAGACACAACTTTTGTCTTCCACAGAAGATGGCAATCACAAAAAGTGCTTTTTAAGAGTCTTCGAATTCTTTAGAGACACAGAGAGGTCTCACAAGGTTATAAAGCTAAAACGAATGAAAAAGGCAATTTCTACAGCAAGGAGGTATTATCAGCTACAGCTTTTGAGAGAGCTCTGGGACAACAGGGATCCAAGCTCCAACCTTTAGTGTTTCTGTTACCAAGTGTCCTTTATTAGATGCTAGCAAGGAGCTGTTGTCCACACGCATGTTCAGGTGTATGCACATGTTTGTATGTGTAAGATACTAGTGTAGTCTGTACACTGAGTGACCCTTTTCCATGTTTTCCATTGTCTAGTTTCTGTGTATTTGGACACTGAACTTCCCTCTATTATTTGCTTTTGCCACAGTTTAAGAAGAAAAGGATTTATTTGGGTTCATGGTTTTTGAGGGCTTCAGTTTATCACAGGCTTTGCTTGTGCACACACTGAGGTAGGGGACCTGAGCAGGCCATATTCATTTTTGTCATTTATATTTTCTTCTACTAAAGTCCCACTCATATTTTTTTCAAATTTTGTTTCTTTCCAATCTTATCCACTCAGCATAAAAGCTAACTTTTGACACATTCTGTAAACACCTTCCTAAATTGATTCTCTGGTAGTTTTGGTTTTGCCTTTTAAAATTAGTGATGCATACCAATTTTACCAGTTGGGAGATTAGTTTATCTTCTCATTATTAACATTTTTCCTGTTTTTAAACTGAGAAACACTTTCTAACTAGAGATCAGAATCAATTTTTTCTTTCTTTTTATTTATTTATTTATTCATTTATTTTTTTCAATTAATACTTTCATATAGTGGGATTATGTAATAAGGAAAAAACCATGGATTTACATCCCCAAATAGCTTCTCAATGACACTTCATGTATAATTTAAATAAAACGTTTTATTTTTTTCCCAAGCAAAGTGGTTTCCTTTACATAAAATGTAACCCAGAAGTCTGTAACTATTTAAAGTAAGCATAAAATCCTCCTCTTCAGTCAAATATCCCCTTAATACAAAAACATGCTGAACTGATGGAGATGAAGTTGAGCTTCACTGATTCATGAGGGGAAAGAATCCTTGACACCAATGTTTATTATCTTTTTCTGTTCCAATCCCTGGCAGAACTACAAAGGAACAAATTTCTTAACCCACTTCTCTGATTTCATTCTTTTTAAATCCTAGTCTTCCTGGATTTCTCTGGTGGCCTACTTTCGCTCAGAACTGTGGGTGATTACAAAGGAGTGTCATTCACAAAGCCCTTCCCGGTCTTTAGATCAGAAGTTGAGTCATCTCTCTAAAATTATAAGCAAGTTGTTTCTTTCTGGAGTGTCCTTTGTCATTTATACGACAGAAAGCTCTTGTCAACATGTTAAAGCAGGGCTTAAACAGGCAGGACTTCAGATACCCTGACAAATACAACGGCAGAAAGAATGCACTCGGCCAGTGTGTGGAAGCAAAGCAAATGTGTCCGTCTCTACTCACGTGTAAGCTTCGAAGTCCCCATTGTTGATAGCTTCAATCAGTTGCTCGGTGACTTTGATGATCTCCTGCTTTCGTGCTAAAAGCAAAGACAGAGTTGGATGAGAACAAAGGACAAGGATCACACACAATTTTGGTCAACGATACAACTATTCTGCTAAATGAGGGTATCATATAAACCATCTCTCCTGGAAGAAAATGGCCGCTCCTTTTGCACAGTCTTTACCTCAAAATGGGAGACCAACAACTATGTCTCCTAGGAGCACTTAGAAGCACAGCCCAGACCAAGAGATTCAGAATCTGGATTGTAACAGGGCTCTCAGGTCTCAGCCATCTAGGAGACACTACTCCATCTCATTCGATCACAAACATCAGGTACCCAGAAGGTTGAATTTACTTTTGCTACCTTTATCACCTTGACATAGAGAATGTGCTCTCTATTAACAAATGTGTCACCAAAAAAGTTAGGTTATAAAAGTACCAAAGAACAAACAACCAGCTTCAGAGTGAAGATGGTATGTTGCGTCAAGACATCCAACATTAGGTGACTACAGACTTCTTACGTTTCAGGTCAACCTGCCTGTGGCATTAGCACTGTGATAGGTCATTGTATTTAGGTAAATGGCCATTAGTAAACTCTTGAAATTGAGACAGAGACATATAAATGCTGCAAATGAAGGCAATAAACAGACAGAAGCCCCTTTCAAACTATCAAACCCCACAAACATCAAACATCATTAGTGTCTTTTCCTGCCTAGGATTGGTAAAATTATTAATGGTGGGTTTGGCTCAGACATCTCTTTCAGCAAATTCTTTTCCAGTTGCATCTGCTTCAAGAGCTCCTACCCTTTCATTGAATACCCATAGTTCCTGAGCTGTCCCCTGGGTATCCCTGACACCTCCTTAAGTTAAAGCACATGTCATGTTTGGTTGCTATTAAGCTTAGTTCACTATGTAAGCTGTGCCCTCCTATTTAAATAGAAAATTCCTTATGAGCAAGGAACATGTTATTCTTTGAGTTGCCTAAGAAACTGTTGCTCTTAGATGTTAAATATAATTGTGAATTGGATCCATTGAGATTACTGACAACATTTTCTTAATTTCAGAATGTTTTTTACTCATGAAATTATGTTCCAATATTAATATTTATCGTGTTTAAATATAAATTATATTAAAAATATTAAGTTGATTAGATTTTATATCTTATAAAATAAGTATTCGATTAGCCCATACAGTGGCTACTAACAATGTAAATGCTGACAACATGAAAGCATCACTATTAGAAGCTCATAGTAGTTGTGTATCTTCTTACTTGTATGCAAGAGCAGAACATGGACGTTCCTAGCTCCTTTGCACACATAATATTTGGTTTTTCTTTTTGTTTGACTGATTGGTATGAATATTACAGCCGTCCTTAGGACTTATTGGTGGAGTGGTAACAGACGAGAGTTCGATAGCAGGGAGGCTGCCAGTGGCACATTCAGTTTAGTTAGATGATTTGCCTGTCTGTGGCCTTGGCAGTGTGACTCTCTGGCAAAGGCCCTGACAGCTAACCTGACTCTGGAGCCTGAAGGGCATCCATGAAGAGCTGCTCAGAAAGGGGGGAGTGTAAGGACCTGGTGCCCAAGTTCTCTCCTCACACAAGACCCCGCACTTAAAACTAACAGTGTTTTTAGTAAGTATTGTCCAGGTGGAAAAGTATAATTAGAAAACAACAACAATCTTTTAAAACTAGCCAAAAAAGGAGAAAATAAAAACCAATGTCAAGTGCTGTGTTACTTCAGCAGACTGGGCAGTTCACAGCTGTGCAAACTTCTGGAACAATTCCTGGGGTCCTGAAAACCCCACAACCTCTCACAAGCACAGGATGGAGTCAGGAGCAGCAGCAGTGAGTGACCATCTTTCACTCAGAACCACCGTCGCCCAAATATTCACTCACTTTCTCGAGTTTCGCTACGGTGACTTAAGCTTGTTTTTGCACTATCAGCGTCACGTAAACTGTCTTCCAGGTTACTTCTCATTCTCGGAAACAATGGCCTCCCAGCTGGCCTGGCCGAGCAACACGCAAATAGGGCTCAAAGCAGGATGCTTCTGGGCAGTAGCATCCTGGAGGCAGTGTGAGCTGAGCCTTGGTTTAGGAGGGGCCTGGAACTCAGGAATCTCTGAAGTGTTCATTTCCTCCAGGCAAAGGCGTGTGAGTGAGTCACAGTTGGGCCTGGCACAGGACGGCTGACTCTTGGAAGGAAAGCAGAAGGCTAGAAATGAATCACTCCTGGACAAGGCTCTGAGTTTAGAAGTTAGAGCTGTTCCACAAATTCAACATCTGACCTAGGCTGTGAGGGTGGGGTGGGTGCCAGTTAATTCTTCCCCAACAGCAGTGAGCCCAGGGGACAGTCACTGTGCCAGGTCCCTGGCTAGTTGTTTTCTCTGAAGAGGGTCTGCTCTTTGCTCTCCCTTCTTCCTAAAGGTAAGAAGTGACAGCCCCTGAGGTAAGATGGGGAATATCACCAAAGAGGAGGGCAGTGCCTTTGGGCACGCCCCACCGCCTGTAGGATGCCACCAGTTTAATCTCTGAATGCTGTCAGTCAGCAGGACCCAAAGTAGTTTTTGAGGATTTCTAGTTTGGGAAAAAAGAAGGGCAGAAACAAGCAGGAAAGATGGTCCAGATTCTCAGAGCTCCTTCCATGCAGGCATACAAACACACTGGGCATGTTTCCCCACCCAAAGTCACAGCTCCTTTGACTTATTTATTGATCTAGATATCAAAAAATCTTCAGTCCCTAGGACAAAGACTGGACATTTCAAAGTTACTTCCTTGTCTGAAGAGAACAAAGTGAATATTGGAAAAATGATTGATAAGCATCAGGTGATTTCAGGGATACTTCTGTGTAAGAACTACAGCAGAGAAAATTTTATTATTGTTTGATAAAAAACCTTCAGCTTGAAGGTACGGATGCTCCGAGACCAGGTACAGCATCCTAAGGGAAATCAGGCCAGGCCCTAGATCCCTACATCGGCCCCTAAAAAGATCTGACGGCCCTCCAACAGAGGGGTCCAAGGCAGCCCCACCCTGTGGCAACTACAGGGTAAGTCTATGGCCCTATCAGAACTGGCCTTCTCCTCTGTGCCCCTTAGCACTCAAATTAAGCCAGACTAAATTAGATGGAGTGCAACTTTCCCTACCCCACTCCTTGGCAAACCTACAGAAGTAAGGGCTTCTTTTGTTCTCCCGGTTTTCTGAGTGGAGGTTAAGTGTCTGTGTCTTTTTTCAAGAGCTCAGTTGTTGCTGCACCTGGAGGCTGTGTCTTCTACTCCTCCACTCTGAGCATCTAGCCAGGTTTGTGACGGAAGCCCTTTTCTCCTCACAGGCTGCCTCTGGTACACTGCGATGTCTCTCCCAATGATCCCCTAAAGATTGTGTACCCACCCCAGTGCTTGAAAGGCTATCCTGTGTGTGAGACTCCAGTCTTCTTTTGAGCTCCGTCTGTTAGCATTTAGTGTAGAGAGATCGCCTACACAGGAAAGAGTATCTTCACAGGTACTCTTCTCGTCTGTGATTTCTTCCATAATTCTCTCCTTCAGATCTATACCTGAAAGCCTATTTTCAAAGTCTCCCTTGAATATTTCATGCACTTCCAACCCAACTACCTGAACTAAGTTTGCCAAGTTCAACCACCACCAATGAGAATAGTCAGGCAGGATAGATAGATGCTAGGTGTGTTTCATATTATGAGATCACTTCTCACAATGTGGAAAGAAGCCTGTATATGCACACCATAAATATCTCAGCACCCACACATGGATAATGGATTGCTTTAGTCTGAGTTACCTTCTAATAAGCTCATGTCTTAGATAGAACGAGAGGTTTCAAGAGAGAGTACAAATCCAAGTGCACAGAGATGTTGAGGAGGGAGAGCGCAAGAGGGACCACGCAGGAGATATGGGAGAGATACTCCAATGCTGTGAATCTCGGAAACAGAACTGGTCACTTGACCAGAGGAACAAGCTAGCAGTGACTCCCTTCCTTGTTTCTCAGCTCTTCCTTCCCTGTGGCATCTGCTGGTTGGAGACAGGCACAGGCCTAGTTGTCATTGTGATACTGATCTGCTGCCGTCTCAGGTCACTGACACAGAAGAAAGCATAGCTTACAGATTTCAATTCCTGCCTCTTCATTGGCTTCCTGGTGGCAAGCAACAGGGTCACCATAGTCCAGCTACACAGACATAATTGGTTTTCCATGGATCTCTATCCAAGTGTATAATAAAGAGCTTGAGACCCAGAGGGCAGATCCTACCCCTCTCTCCAGTCCATCAAATTATGCTGCCTTCATCTGCTAGTGTTGCCCACTGGGCCACTTCTCCTGCACCATTGTGAGTCCGAGTACTCTCCCCTGTCCAGGTTCCATGACGTGCTGCCTTAGTGTCTGTGAATAATTCAGATCTTCACCTTTCTCTTTAGGAGGCATTCAGATGCTTACAAATGCATATCTCTTCCACAATGTCCCCCTTTGAAGTCTTGTAGAGTCTTTTCACTGTTGTTAGCATTCAAAATGAGACCGGCAAGCTTTTCGCAGCTTCAGTCCTGCCCATCTCACCAGATCTCATCAAAGGCTGCTTTAATCTCATGATGTTCCCAGCAAAACTTAAAACGCCCACACCTCTTCCTACCCTTTTGTCTTAGTGAACTGTTCCAGCGTCCATGCTTGTACATTTGTTTAAAAAACCAGATCTCAACTAGTTTTCCTTTAAAAGGACCCGCAAGCACCCACAGGCATGGTCATAAGGACGGGAGAATCTCACTGGGCCTTACCTTTAAACAAAGAATCATGAACAACTAAGGAATGATGGCAGGGAGAGAAACAGTCATCTCGAGGGAGGAGTCCCCCAACTGGTGAGCTTACACCAAGTGGTCAGCCCTGAAATCATGTCCATACAAGTAATAGTAAATGAATGAAACAGGTTGAATTTACATGTTCAAGTGTGTATGTGTGTGTGCACAAAACAGGAATGAAGAGCAAAGAGACTGAATTTGAGAGGAAGCAATGTGTGGATGGGCAAAGTTAGAAGGAGAAAATGGAAA